GCCTGTTTATTTTTCCTTGTCTTGGTCTACTGGATGCCTTCCTTCACTGAGCCCGCCACAGACAAACTTTTTGATCTAAAACATGTGGGCCCCTTCTGTTTCTCAGCAAGACAACAAGGGTGATCGATCAGTGGAAGCTGGAATCGAACAGGCCTCACAGCCAAATAAGAAAGTATTGCCACTATAAACTTTTCTCACTTTGAGGAGGTGACAGCATTGATCTCAAGAAAAGAAGATGCTATTAAAGTGCTTTGAAGAACTAACAGTGGAGTCAGCAGTGTCAGTAAAACGTAATGAAAAATAAACTTGTGGCCATTCTTTGAGCTGAGTAAGAACTCCTCATTTTCGTAATTAGGGCTGATGGAACTTGCGGGCTGTTTTAAAGCAGCCTGAACTTTTGTGGTTGCTCCAACTGCATGAACTGCTCCTGTAGACTTTTATCAGGGCTGTTTTTTGGGAGTAGAAGAAAAAAACACTTTCTCTGATGGCTGTACAGCCATGAAAAACTCATGTGTGAATCTCAGTGCTGTGTTGTTTCACTTGGGGCTTACAGTAAGCACCATTTTTCCTCCCATTTGATGTTCTCGTTGAGTATCATTCCCCTAATTAGCATTACCATCAAAACTATAAATTCACATTCTAGGCCAACACAACAAATCCTCCATTGTTCTATTTTCGTCCCCATAGAACTTGAATTAGGTTCAGAAGCTACTTTTTTTGTTCGGTTGCTCTTGGAGTGGATGGTGTAGTCAGAGCTGTTAGATCCCACACTGTTAATGAACAATGGAACAACCAAACAGAAGATCGGCAGGCGGAAACCTTATATTTTCCATAAAACCTACCCACTGAAGTGAAATGCTGGACACACAAAATGCTGAGAACACACCTTGTTGGAAAGAAAATATTACTTTCCTTTTCTTTCTATATGGACATTTTGTCCAAATTTATTTGGCTGCTGTCTGTCATTGAGCTATTTTCTGAATTTCACACTTGATTTGAAGAAAGATGACATCCAGGAATATTGTGAATGAAATACACCCCCAACAACCCCTATTCAGTCTTCTCATCTTACCTCTTCATATCTGATTCTCCAAATTTCTCCTCTGACATGAAACTCTTATATTATTGCTCACTCTTCAATAATTAGAGAAGGGGACAAGGCCCCTCGGACCCTAAAAATACAGCATGTGAAAGGAGCATGATCAGTTGCTGCTCATCTGCACTGGGGCCCTTTCACCTACTTTCCTGAGTGTGCTCGTTACAAAACAGACACACAACACCTAACAACCCCTCCCTGAGCTGACCACACACACACACAAAATACAGCCACCGTCATACTCCTCAATAAGCATCACTGATGAAGGTGGATGTGAATTAATCAGGCTGTCAGCTAAAGAACAATGACATTGTTTAAATAATGTGTTTTTTCACATATAGCTTCTCCTCATCTGAAAACAGGAGACAGCATTTAAGTGGAATATAGGATTTTTTTTCACTTACATTTGGGCCTGTGTGAAGTGTCCAGGAAGCAGGTTTCACCGCAGGGCGTTCGTCCTTGTGACTTGTGTGAACATTTCAGCCCAGGAGTGTGTGTTTAACAGTTTTCTCCTCGGCTTCGTTCCCATTCATCGTTTCAAATGCGGTGGGGTAAACGAGGGGCGTGGCTTAACGCGCCCCCCAATGGGACGCAAAGGTGTGTTTGGCGCCAACCAATGGGAGAGAGGTTCGGTGCGTGATCGGGAGCTGACGGCACCGTGGAGGCTACGTGGTACACAACTGCATGGGTGTGTGAAAACATTCCTGGCTACACCCCCCAAAACCCCCTAATTCACACACACACACGGGACATCGTCTTCGTTAGTCAAAGCAGACACACACACACACACACACCCTAATCATGTTATGGAGTGATGTCACTGAACAGCAGATGTTGGTTAGTTAACAAGCTACACATGATTTAACACTATAATGTAAGTCTACACAGAAATGTATTTAAATCAGCCGTTTTTGGAAGGCAGGGGAGGGAAAGTATTTTATTTATTTATTTATTTTTTAATCCATATTGCCCAAGTAACCAAACTACAGTATTGTCATTTGTCAGTGGCACAATGTGTCTGTAGAAACACTATGAACTGGTTTGGAAGTTTGATTTGATATGAAATTAAATGTCCATTACAAGTGTGCAAGTTGTGACTGATGCTTTCAAACTTTTTAATGTATGAGTAGCATCTGCTTTGTCATCAAGTCATACAGTGCTGGTGAAATACATCACACAATATAAGTTTTCAACATTTCAGCATTGAATTGTGACTATTATGATTTGGATTTTCAGACAAGAATTTCCAAATAAAGACTTGTTCAATTACAGCATCGAGCCTGAGTGGATAGCTTTCAGTTGTTCTCCATTTCACTACCCATGTGACTTTTAGCACTAATTGACTGCACCAGTGATGAAAGTTTGAATTCTTATGCGATCACTTATTTTATATTTTTAATTATTTGACCTTACTTTGTAGAAATTGGTTTTAACTTTGACATTAAATAGTCATTTGTAAATTAATTGTCGAAAAACCCAAACCATATTGACCCTACTGATGTGGAAATGCAATATAAGGAGAAAACTTTGAAGGGGGTGAATACTTTTTAATTGGCACAGTACATGAAGCTATTTCAACAGAGAGATAAAACTCCTCGAGAAAATGCACTCACTGGCCACTTAAATAGTTCACCTGTGAACTCTAATACAATCCAATCCAGCAGCTCTGCCATAAACTGTACTTTTACCGAGGAGTACAACCTCTGTTAAAGTTATATGGTTTTGGTTGATGTGGTCAAGATTTTAGGAACACATTTAGATCACCACTCACAAGAACCTTAATAATACACAGAAATTAGGATCATCACCTTTTTGTCAGTGGCAACAACAACTGAAAATATTAAAGCTAGTTAAATAGTGTGTTAGTAATGGCTTCATGTTTTTGACGTTTCACAGATTTTAGAAAATATTTTAAGAACAACTCAAAGCAGGCTAGTGGAAAAACATTTAAATAATATAGAAATTCTACTATAAAACAACAAAGAAATGTAAACAATATACTAGCAAACTCAATGTGAATATGTACAATCTAAGTTATTTAAAAGATTAGATGTGTTTAGCCATTTAGGCTAGGATGGCTGAGACGTTTGGCCTTGTTATCATTTTAAAATGCAAAGATACTAGACACAGCTTGTGAGTGATTATATGATATATTAATCACCTCATGCAAGTGGAATTTACTTTTAGTTTTTTGAGAATTCTTTCTCATAACTCCAATAAAATGATTTACTGATACAAGTTTCAAAATTCATAAAATTGCCACAGTTGGTTGCCTTGTTTTTCTCCTGACATTTAAATATTTTAGTGTGACCACTCTTTCACTTTGCAGGCCTCTTGTCTTTTGTGGGAGAAAGAGGTCAGCCACAGGAGATGGCCTCAGACAGCCCTGTGGATTAGGTAAGTGTCAGCTGTCTAGACCTTCCTGCACAGCACAGAGAGCCAGAACAAAAGGCCGGCTGTAGACACACAATGGAGAAATACACACAGACACACGGCGCGTTTGACTGTGTCTGCCACTGTGGGATGTTCCTCAAAAGCATATTTGCTGGAAGAGAGCAAAGTCTGACTGCAAGTGGCATAAAGAAATAATTCTGTATTCAGGTTCAGTTTAACTTCCAGCTTTTTACTACCCAAACTAAAACTGATGTTCTGTTTTACTTTATTGAAGAAGTGTCTCTTATCACAGTACACAAGCAGTTTGTTCACTATTCAATATGTACCTAGTTTATCTGTTATCTGCATTTTAAATGAGCACTGTTTCGCAACAGGACAGGAAATATTTCACAGTATAAAACTGGAACTGTGGTCAATACAGTATTTATTTTCTTCAAGTTCTCTTGCTTTTTGCTGCTTTATAAAGGTGTAATCAGAAATCACGTGTTATTAAGTCATTAGTTCATACTTCTATATGAACACGTTTGAGTGTGGAGTTGATTTTATTTTCTTCTTCTTACATCATAGAGCAGTTAAAGAGCCACTCCACCGGTTTTATACATAAAGGCCAGGTGATGTCAGTTGTATAAACTAGTGATGTGAAATTTGAAAGATGATTATTTAACAGGCAGGAAGGAGCAAATGGCAGATGAGCTGCATGATGGGAAGATTGGGGTCTGTCTCTCCTAAGTCTTAGAAATTTACAGGAGTGCAGTGTTTATTTCACAGAGTGCTCCTTTGGAATCATGAAAATGTCTTACTTTGGTGCCATCTGGTGTCATTATCATTGGCTTTGGCGCTATGGAAGGCAAGACTTCACATAACAGTCAAGAGTTAAAGCTGCATTGAATCTTTTCTTTTTCTTTTTTTGACCACCTGAAAGTAACAGAATAGGCCAAACAGAACACAGACATCTTTTGACTTTATAAAGGTGTCATGCCAAATAGATTTGTAAAATTTGCCAAGTCATATTTCTGTCAGATACTGAGCTACATTAGCCTTGTCATTTTAAGTCATGTTGTTGCACCTGAAAAATCTAAACCAAAGCAATGACACATAAAAAGACAAGAAGCTCTGCTACTGAGCAACGTCAGAAATGTGCTTATTTTTTAAAAATTTGTTAGTCACTGACCTGTCCAGGGTGTCCCCTGCCTAAGTCAGCTGGGATAGGCTCCAGCCCCCCCGCGACCCTAGTGAGGATTAAGCGGTATAGATGATGGATAGATAGATGTTAGTCACTATTACTAATGTCTTTCACATTACACAAAGTTAATTAATCACCCGTCATTATAAAAATATTTCTTTGTGCAACTTTAAACCAAAAAATATTTCAAACTACAGAGCTCCTTCTTCTTTTATGTAATATCTATCATGCAGGATAAAAACTACTTTTGCAAAAGCAATGGTCTAACATGGTTCAGTCTTTGTACCTTTTTCAGTAGGATTCATACTATTTTTAGGTGCCAAACATTGCAAAATGAGTGGTCATTGCACAAAAGCACTCTTTTTTCATGCATTCCACCATGTTGCTGGTCTTGGGCCAATCAGGTTGTCCTAGTTTTGGAAGCATGATGCAATGGAGACCCAGATTCTTGGCCATGTTAACTAACTACAGTAAGCCATAAGAACTTTATACATCTCCATGGTGTTGGGCAATGGACTAATTGAGTATGTTAGAATCTAGTTGCTGGATCGCCCCAGAAGTTATAGCTCCCTATACAATGTCAGCCCATTTTCAAGCAGAGTTGAATGGCAAGTGAGACCAGACCAACAAGGACTTAGTGTTCTCTTTTTCTGTTACAGAAATGTTTGTGTGTGTTCAAAATGCAAATGCCCCTTAAAGGAACTCCAGCAGCTAATTTCTCTCTAGTCCTCATGTTGTTGCGGGCCAACAGAATGTCATTTAAGCTCTGCTGCAACCTGTGACTTGGTGAAGCTGTTGCAAAGGGTTTGTGCCCAAGGCCTAGGACTGGCCTGGTGTCAATAAGTAGGGTTACCCTTCCATGATCCGTCTTGCCCCAAACCTGTAAAGATATGTCTCTGCCAGCACTAAGGGAGTTATTTTAAAGTCTTACTCTCTGGCTAGCGGTCGCGTTACCCTGTCGGAATAACTTCCACTTCTGATTGTAGCCTGACTGACAGGAGCTGGTGTTGGTCCTCCGATCTATGGATGAAAATGACCTATTTTGGTCTCTCTTTGAGGGAGTAACACAATGTACTCCTTTTGTAAGAGCTCAAAAACTTAACATACTGAGTAGCATTTATTCCTATATGTCTTTATGCATGCAGAAGATCTATTTTAATTAAACTACAAGCTTCAGCCAGAAATTTGCTCACTTCCTAAAGCTCTAAACCTGCTAACCTTACTCTGATGACAGTGCATTTTCCTGCTGCTAACTCTTTGTACCCATATTTAACCACATCAGAGGTCATTTGATAACCCAGTGCCCACCTACCTAAAAATAGATTTTCCTGCAGTTTTGTTTGACTTCAATCTTGAAAGAGGGTTTTTTTTTTTTTTTCTCCACAGGGCACTGGCCCTGGCGTCACTAACCTCTGTGGAGAACAAAGTTCCTAAACTTATGTATCACCTTGATTACATGACGCGAAGCATTTGTATAACAAAGACCAAAGAATTTAATAAGAATATACACGCACTATATCTGCACTATTTACTACTGCTTTAACTTTTTTTTACTAACAACACTGACATATTTAGAGTCATTTTTTTGGGATAGGGCCTTTTCTGTCGCCGCCTCCACTCTCTGGAACTCTCTCCCACAACATATTCGAGACACCTCAGACCCAGTAGTATTCAAATGTAAATTAAAAACTCATCTGTTCCGCTCCGCTTTTCCCACCTAGGCCTCGGCTCTATCTCGATATTTACTGTTTTTTTTTTTTTTTTTTCCTGCTTGCTGTATTTCTATATTGTCAACCTTTTTATTTATTGCTTGTTGTTTAATGCTTTTATTGCTTTGCTTTTATCCTGTGAAGCGTCTTTGAGTTCTTGAAAAGCGCTATACAAATAAAATGAATTATTATTATTATTATTTTTTTACTTCTCCA